AAAAAAAAAAAAAAAAAAAAAAAAAATCTCACAACAAACGTGGATGAAAAAGCACTTACAGCTTCATCGAGGATGAAGAACCGAACATTTGAGAGGGAAATTTTACCGCTCTGAATAAGATCTTCCACTCGTCCAGGGGTACAGGTAATTATGTCTACACCGGATGAGATTAGGCGCATTTGTTCGCCCATCGGTATGCTACCAATTACCAAGGCATTCCTGAAGAAATTATTTCTCAAATTTCGATGGTTGAGCTTTTTTACAGCCCTTAAACTGGAAAAGAAACTAACAAGTCATGAAGTCCACAAAATTAAAATTCGGAAACTTTCTTACATTTGAGATAAGTCAAAAAAGAAGAAATTAATGACGGTTTAAATTAGCCAAAAAATCATAAGTCCAACATGAGTTAATTAGCCAATCTGCCAATAATAATTAGCCAAAACCATGTGTTTTTGTATGAAAAAAAAACTACGAGAAACACATGCGCAATCTTGTAGTTTGCTTCAATCCCATGCATATTTATAACATTTATTACTTTTAAACGGAGTTCTATCAGAATCAATCACATCAGAGTTTATCTGGGTATCTAAAATTTGGTACTTGCTGCTTTCCCACAACTGTCAAAATTCGACTGTGTTCCTCTCAACGGTGGGTCGACAGTGCCGAACAAACTATGTATGTTAACAAGTAGAAGACTTCAGGCCCCCGACTTCTTCCAATCCTCTAGCCAGAGATATTCAAAGTTTTGCACCTTAAAAATTTCTAAAACACATTTATAAGTGTACCGGATACTAAGTTAAAAAAGTACCTTCTCAACCATGGCTCTCAGTAATCGGCGAATCAATGGTTTGCTTAGAAAAACTCACCTAACCGATGGATCCCTCACAAACAAATGCAAAAAAAAGTGCCAAAAATTCACCTAATCGATGGTTTACTAAGGTATTTCTTGAATGTTTCCAGCTGGCCATTAGTTTGTTCGGCCAGTTCTTTGGTTGGTTCGATTATGATACAGGCCGGAGCATTCGGTTCGGCAACTTTTTTCGGTGCACTCGATGATACACCATTTGGTGATACAAGCACGTTCTCAGATTCTGCTTTACTGACTGCGATATAGCCCTAAAAATCAGGCGTGAAATGAAAATCTAACAAATTTTAATTAAAATTTAACGAGTTTTTAAATTTGATGCACAAAAATGAGAACAAAAAGGGTTCACTTGAATTTTTGTAATATTTAAAACGCATAATAAAATGTTTGAAAATGTGTTTCGTTATTTAGGTTTAAAAAAAAAACAACTAACTTCTGGCAGATTTTTGAATTCGGAATCGCCAAAATTGAAACGAATCTCTGCATTCTGCAACAAAACCTTTAAGTTGTCGTCTCTCAGTGCATTACTTTTTTTATATTATTTAATGTAACTAATTTAAATTTAATTTACACCAATTACAATTACCAAAATCGTCGTATTATGATGTCTAGCTGTGGTAATGGTAAGAAATGTATACGACTTAATGGACCGAGACATTTCTTATCATTATAATAATTTTATCAAAATAATTTTACTACTTTTACTAATTTCTTAACATTATTTGCTCTTTTTTTCTTCTTCCTATTTGCTCTTTTTTTTTTCTATTTGCTCTTTTTTTCTTCTTTTTTTTCTTCTTCCTACTTCAAAATACCTTCCTAGTTTCTTTAAAAATTTTAAAAACTCGTGCGACCTGCTCCACATGCAGTAAATAAACAAAACCAAACTATATCAAGATCGCCTCGAAAATCGATGCAGGTTTAGTTCTATTACTGAAATTCATTCACAAGCCGGATGTGGCCACAGCACAGGCAACGTTCCTCAGCTGCTTATCTCCACAGAAACGAGTAAAATTTAATAAAATTACTACCCGTCTCATATGTTATCTCCTTCTCTTCCATCTGCTCCATCACTTTTATTACTTTCATGCTATTACACTTTCTCTCCTTCTCATTCACTTATCCTTCTTGCAAATTAGTTACATGTTTTTTCAATACATGGCGGGTAGGAGGCTGTTCTGACGATTCCCACTCCTACCCGCATGCACTGTTCGGTCTGTGTATATAGCTTAGGGATGAAACACAGAGACTGCATCGTGAAATATCCTCTTATACATGACACCTAATTCCAATCTTTTTACTCCACTATTTATGATAAACACCATTTGAGTCATTAGAAAGTCGAATCAGAAGTGGACGGTCCAAGTGGGTCGATGACCGAAGTGGGTTGAATTGGTAAAAAATTTTTTTTTACTTTCTCGCACAGTCATATGCCAAAACGATGTTTCACTATCAAAAAAATAGTGGAAAACTGTGAAATATTGTGATAACCTTCAAAACCACTGCCGGGAAAAGGGCTGTATTTTTGAGTTTTTGCGGAATATCAAATGCTTTGCCCAGATGTTTGCCATTTTTTGAGAATGCAATTGTGCTGTTGTCCAGATCAAGCATACAACCGATCGTGTCACCAAGAGTGAATGATGTGCCGTAGTTGTCGAACTGCTTATTGGTACTCTTTTTGCCAGTACCACCATAACCAAAACCATTACTATCGGTGCCTAAAAATTTATTTATCAGTTGGCAAAATTCCAACAGGGGGGTTGGCCTCTCCTGTGCATAAAAATGTAAGCATTACGATGTCTAGCTGTGGTAATGGTAAGAAATGTAAACGACTTAATGGACTGCAAAAAAAAAATCTTTAGACGAAATACCTAAATCGAGTGCAGCATTAGCAGCAGACCATCCAAGGCGACACAATCCATCATCGGTCACCGTACCCTCATAATAATATTTGCCTGCAAAAAATAAATTATCACAGTTTACATCTGGTACAAATGAATATGCTAATAATACAATTTAACAAATGAAAAAATCATTATTATTATTATCAAGACCAATATTAATAGAATCATTATTACTATTACTGTTATTATCATTATTATTATTGTTATTATTATTGTTGTTATTATTATTATTGTTATTATTATTGTTATTATTATTGTTATTATTATTGTTATTATTATTATTGTTATTATTACTACTATTATTGTCATTTTTATTATTATTATCAACAAAGTGCCAAGGCTACCACGAAAATCACTTGCTACCAGTTACTCATCGTTTTACCGAATTGCTTTGTCATGTCCAATTCAGTTATGACAAAGTTTCACCAATTTCAGGCAGCA